TAGGCCGTTGGGACGCTCTCGTGGCAGGCCATCGACTTCATCTTCGCAGCAGACGGCATCAAGCAACAGCTGAAGCACAAGTGGGCACAACTACAGCCGCATGTGCTCAAATGACAGCCTCGGCCCGGCGTTGGCCAAATGCTTACCTCACTTTATAGAAAAGGGAAAACGACTAACTTTTTACATCTTCTAAAATCTTTTGTAACAATCAGAACATTATAAAAAGTGAAAACACTTGATACCGTTGTGTTCGATACTCCTGCTTTGAGATGCACAATTTGAATAAGTGATGAGACACTGTAGACATACGATATATTTGTATCTATATATATGGCACACAAATTCTTGTGATTAAAAAAAAAAGTCAAATACTCTTCTGTCCATTTCTTGCATTCCACTAAAAAAAAAAAAAAAGTGACATCACACTACGATGTCCTTTTCATGACATCGCATTTCACTTGAATGCTTTTTTCCCAAATTTGCCGTGTTTGTCCTTCTTGAACTTTCCTTGCTGCACGTCCTTCTTCTTTTGCTTCCCATGTTGAGGCCCTCCATTGCTCGCCGCGTCTTTTCCTGCATCGAGTTTCCTCTTCTTGTCACTATTGGGAACAGATTGAAAAGCAATGACATTTCTACAGCAGGTGCAAGCGTCAAATTTAATGCCTTGATCATATTTTTAAATTTTTTCCAGTGTAACCATGGCTGTTGTCAGCTGGGTGCAAGCGTCAAATTTAATGCCTATCATATTTTAAAATTTTTTCCAGTGTAACCATGGCTGTTGTCAGCTATTATTTTCGCCTTTTAATGATGGATGCTCGGAATGAAGCATACTGACATATTTAATGGTGAAGACTTTAGCTGTACAGCCTCCCGGCCTAAGCTGAACCTCGAAGCACAGACATCCATTTATAACTGAGATTAATTAGCTTTTTTGTCCAATCTGATATCAGCTTCAATGTGGTCAGAATCCTGAGTATCCTATAAAACCCGAGAGAGACGGTCGTTACGGCACCTTTTAATGCTGACCATCGCCGTGTTCCCAGCTTTCTTCAGCACTTCGTCCCAGTCCTCATCATGTCCGCGGATCTTGTACCTAGAACCGCAAAAGAATTAGATCACATCGACATCAAACTTGTCATTGGTTGCACGTGCTGAGATGCGCCATACTTACTCTTCCAGGTAGAGTTCCTTCACTTTCTCTTTATCCTGCTTGAGTTTCTCCTCAAACTCCTTTGCCGCCTCATTCTGAGCAAAAAAGAAACAATCTTCACCTTTGGTTGTCACAGCATTCATTTAGAATATGAATTGATTTGTTCTGGACAACAAAAAATGACAACCAAAATTTTAATTATGGTCTTTTACTTTGAAATTTTGAACCAAAAAAAAAAATATAAAATTGGAATCATTGAAACTGTTTGAATTGGTCAAGAAATGTGGAAATTAAAGCAAAAACCTCTGAAATTTAAATTCAGGGCTTCTATTTTTAAAAAAATTACCACGAAAAATTCGCAATATTTGGAATGATTTGCATCGGAGAAGAAATGTGTAAATTAGAGGTAAATCTCAAATTTTGTGGGCAATTACGACTTTAGTGATAGGCAGTGGGTTTCAATTTGCTCCCTGGTAAATCTGTTGGTGAGGCTTTGTGAGAACGGCCGTACCAGATCATCCTGGAGGCTTCGGACCGTCGGCTCCATGGTGATGTCTTTTGTTGTTGCCATGTCCGCTTCGATGGCCTTTTCTTGGATGCTGGTAAAAATCTACAACATACAGGTTGTGTCTCAGTGGAGAGGATCATAAAGTGGGAATATTGGTGCATCACACCGCCGAGTTACATAACTGAACTCATGAGATGTCAAGTCAGATATTTGGCAGAATAAAATTCCCATCATCGATTAATAAATTGATTAATTTTTTTAAAAGTATATATAATGAATGAAAATGTATTTTTTGATTAGTTAACGCTCACAACAAATAAGATATGAATTACATGCAGAACATTTGACTGTTTTACAATATTTTGACCTTTTGTATAACTTTACAACAGAGTGAAAAATCGGCAAAAATGGGCATTTTTGGAGGGGATGCGGCAGTGTTGACTTTGTCATATGTCAACGTGTGGAACTCCCCCCAAAAATAACCAGCCAGTGTTTGTCTACAGCTAACATTGGCGGTTCGTTTCATCGGGCGGGCTTGAGTCGCGACGGGTGTGAACGTACTTGCACAAATTTGCGCAAGAGGCGGTTGAAGAGGCCCATGAGCTGCGAGCTTGGGAGGTCCACCTCCCTCTCCAGCTGGTCCACCGATTTGTGTTGCAGTCCGATGCCCAGCAGCATTGCCTGGAAAACATTTTCCTAATGAGACAGGGCTTTGACGCCACAGAAAGGTTACAGAAAGGGCACCAAAAAAACAAAAACTATTGAACTTTTTAGCGACTAGCTTAAAAAAAAAAAAAAAAAAAAAAAACACACAAAGAGGGGAATTTCTGAAGAGCGAACGTGGCTTACACACTGCGCCACTGACAGTGAGACGTCACCCAGCTGATTGAGGAAAAACAAGCGCGCCACGGTCGGGATCAGGTCCATGATGAGGTGGTAGTCCACCATGCTGCGCGAGTACAATTCCAGACGCTTGAGGTCGTACGGGCTGAAGTGGACCGCCAGCTCTGAGGCACTCATCGCTGCCAGGAGCAGAGACGAAGAGTGAGCTGTGAGACGCCGGCGAGGAGCGCTCCCCCCTGCGCCCACCTACCGCTCGCGGCTTCTTTGGTGCTCTTGTTCTGCAGGATGCTGAGGGCCAGGCTCGGCCAGAAGCTGCTAAACTGGTAGGAGAGCAGGGACAGGAAACGCCTGCGGAAATCTGAAGGACGCAACAAGGCTCGGTGGGGAGATATACAGAATGAGATGAAAGACCAGAGAAGTGGTGTTGACATTCACCTTTGCGGAATGCAGACAACCACTGGCTCGGCTGCTCGTCACTGTGCAGCTCCTTCAGCATCACGCACGAGTGCTCGCCCGTCAGGTCGTTCTGCCAAAAGCGCAAGCGTGCATGAACACGCAGCAGACAAAGTGGACACTGCCTGGCCTCATACTTTTTGTTTGGCTGAAAATTTGGATTCAGTCAATGAAATCGCAATTTCATTTTTGTCGTAATGATCCTCCTCACACCCCAAAAGTAATAAATATGAAATGTAAATAAGGTAAATAAAATAAATAAATAACATTAAAAAAATCATAACCTGCCCTGTTCTCGAAAAAAATTTCACCGTATTAAATTTTTTTTTTTTAACTCTTGCATTCAATGAAGAAAATTGCCTAATTTGTATTTTTTTTCCTTTAAAAATAAGAATAAAAAACATTCTGCCTTAGAAAAAGAAGACGACGACTGTATTTCATAACTTACATTTCGCCCCCAAAAAATATCGGGTTAAAATTACACAATTTTTCCAAAAAACAAAAATGACTTTATCTTTGTATTATGGCTTTTTCTTGAAATATTATACTTTTATTTTGTAAGGTTACAATCATTAGTTCTCTTTTACTGCGGCTCAGAATTGTCTTTCCATCAGTTTGTTTCGATTTACGATGTGTTCTGTCTCCGACTGTAATAAATTTTTAAAAAATTGTAGACTATTAATTTCTTACGTAGTTTATTGTTTTAGCCGTCTTGGTTTTCATGCGTCTGATTTTTACCCTGTGTGCAGTACTTGGCAGGCAGCTGTGATTATTTTTTTAAAGTGCTCTCGAAATAACGTGGACTTTTGAGTTTTTGGAAGTGGGTAAACTTAGCAACACAAATTCAAATACATTGAGATGACAGTCATCTTCCATACTTACTGGCGTTTGTCTCAAGTAGACCGTCGTATAGCCTGCTTTCTTCCAGAATCTGTCAGATCGAAAAAAAAAACAACACATTTTTCACTGAAGAACATCTTTTGACCTTGCTGCGCTTCTTTCCCAACTGAAGCGTGTTCTCACTTGAGCAGCTGCGTCGTCAGCCCGTAGGAGACCCCCAGGTAGTCCAGTCGCTCCGCTTGCCTCTCGCTCAGCTTCAGCAGCAGCGGCGGGAGCTCCTTGCGAGGCGTCACGACCTCCTCGAGGAGCGTGACGGCCTGCGACCACATCCGGGACCGTTTGGGTCTCGTCTCATTCAAACGACTTGCCGCGAATCCGTTTCATTGAACTACCTCGCTGCTGACCGGAGTGATTTCATTGCGCTGGGGCGC